AGGGGCAGGGGGACGCCAAGCGGCACGCGATCCGCGCGCGCGAAAGTGAAACGCACCGCACTGGGCCACACTCGGAGGCACTTCGCTCACCCCTTCGCTGCAAGTCCTCTGATTCGCCTCTTCGAATACCCTCTTCTAGCTTAGCGCTATTTTCACGTTAAAAAGTGATATGTTTACAGTGCAAGATTCTAATAAAAAATAATTTTAAACATATTTCACTTGCCCGGTTGTCTATTTTTGGGAAATTGCTATGAATTTACATGAAGTGCAGTTTAAAATCATTCTTTAAAAGTTTGTTTCCCTGCCAGAAGATAGAAACGCGTCGAACGGGCGGGCGGGCGGTTCTACACCTTATGGCGCCACATTTGCTTCCCTGTACGATCAAACTGAAGATTATTAATAAGAAGAGTACCCAGAATTGCCGATCGTGCTAAAGTGTAATAACAGGACTCAAAAGAACTCATTTTGTAGGACACGGCCTAACAAACCTAATTCTGACACCTTTCTCGAAAATTCGGTTTTACGACCTTCCGACGAACGGTTCTCTAGTTCTGCGAGATGACATTGGGTTGCATCGCCACTTGTGTGGCACGTTGCATTCATGCGTTCATTTTATTTCGTTTGTTCTTTCGTTTTAATTCGTTTTGAAATCTAATCTAATCTACTACTCGTATTAATAAATTGTTAGGTTAATTGATTTGGCACACGCCGTGTGTATTTTCGCATCCAATCAATCTCATTTATGTCAACTTGTTACGTCATTTCCCTAATACACGTTGAAAAACCATTGGCTTTCCTTAGTGAATTAATATACAGAGATGATAAATTCTTTACGCAGCTGAATCTATCTTTTATTACCGTACCACAGCGATCCAATGACTCAATAGGAGGCGTCCTCGCTCTCCGCCCCGCGTGCTGCGCGAGGGTGTCCACGTCCGCGTCCACGACCACGTCCACGTCCGCGTCCGCGTCCGCGACCGCGACCACGTCCGCGTCCACGTCCGCGTCCACGTCCACGACCACGTCCGCGTCCACGTTCACGTCCGCGTCCGCCTCCACGTTCACGTCCGCGTCCACGTCCGCGTCCACGTCCGCGACCATGTCCGCGTCCACGACCACGTCCGCGTCCACGTCCGCGACCACGTCCACGTCCGCTTCCGCGTCCACGTCCACGTCCGCGTCCGCGTCCGCGTCCACGTCCACGTCCACGTCCACGTCCACGTCCACGTCCGCGTCCACGTCCACGTCCACGTCCGCGTCCACGTCCACGTCCGCGTCCGCGTCCACGTCCGCGTCCACGTCCACGTCCGCTTCCGCGTCCACGTCCACGTCCACGTCCACGTCCGCGTCCGCGTCCACGTCCACGTCCGCGTCCACGTCCGCGTCCGCTTCCGCGTCGCGGGCGGCGGAAGCGCCGATCGAGGCCGCGCTCCGCCGCGCGTGAACCGCCATTTCAATTCGGCCCTGCGTGCTCCACTTGCTGCTTCGGCGCGAGCGAAGGTGAGCGGAGTGCGGGAAGAGGACTCATCTGCCTCTGCGCAGTTGTCGCGGCGCGGGCGCGGAGGGCAGGGCAGTCGCTGCCACGCCGGTTTCAAGTCATGAAGGTCGTTCTCTTAAATCCTCGCTTTTTCTTCTTTAATAGCGAAACAATTTAACTCTCATTCCGTTTCCGAGGGAACTCGACGTAAAATGAGCAATTCCTGAATTGCGATAGACCTTCATACTAATAATGAATATATCCTGGTCATACGCCTACATTACCCGCTATCTTGCCTGGAAGAAGCATTGAAGTAAACAAATAAATCAAGTCAACATGAAGGTAGCAACTCGTAAATAGAGGCAATAAAGATCCACACTTTATCACTTTAAATCTCTTCATGCACTGCACAGTAGCAAAAATAATTCAGAAACGCGGTCGATCTATTTCACTGTTTACAGTTCTATTTTCACTGTCATTCTCTCTGTAAAAAATTACTTTCATACTATGAAAATGTGTTAGCTGCCACTATTGCCAGAGAATGGCGACCACTTTATTACTTATTTACCTCCTTTAGAGAAAACATCGTTAAATGTTTGTACACATTCTTTCAAGACCTTTCAGAACTCCTTTTTTGAACTTTCATCCTCTATTTTATTCTCTATGATGCCCCACATAATTCTGTTAATTAGCTATGAATTTTGTGTTTTCAGAAAGGCATTTTTAATAAATATTTGAAAATCCAAAAGTCTATCACGTATTGTTGGGAAATTTTGATTAACAGAAGAGGCAAGAGTAAAAAATCCAACGCAAAATCCGCAGAGAGGGATAGTTCCGAGTAGAGAAATATCGGCTGGAGTGCCTGGCGAACCAGGAGATCGGGGAATCGTAGGAAGCAGCAGCGGCGTGGGAGCGGGCGGCGAGGAGACGAGAGGAGAGGACGGCCGCCCTACTTAGCCGCGCCCCGCGAGCGCAAACACGCGATTGCATCAGCGATAGCCTCTATCGGGTGCGCCCGCGCCCGCGGCCCACCGCCCACCGCCCGTGCGCATGCAGCCAGAGCGCGCTGCCGTCGGCGGAGGGGCCGGCGAAACCAGATGCGCGGGCCGCCAGGGTGGAGGTCGAGGGCAGCCGGTGGAGGGAAAGTGGAAAGCGATGCGTGGGCTGCTACTCAACACTTGCCTTTTGTACTTCTCTCCTATACTATCTGCCTTGTGCGTGTTCCACAAATCAACTCTATTCTATAGTTGCCCATTTTTCGTCGGTTTCCAAACTCCCGCTAGTACCTAAATTATGCTTACGTCCGCTAGAACCTACATTTCGCAGACTCTACAAGCCGACAGCCTTCTGAGCGGTGACCGATGCGAACGCACAAAGTTCCCGAAAGTAAAAGTAGTTTAAAAGGTTTGCTTGATTCGTGATGCTTTGGTAATGATAAGTGGAAGGATATATATGAAAGACCAATTATCACTTCTCTTTCTTAGAACGAGAATAACATGTACAATCAACACTGAATTTGGAACACCATTTTTTAGTTCTTTAATACTTCCCTTTACTTTTGGATTTTTAAGATTATAGTCTTTTGAAAATTATTGGACAATGAATTTTGCATCTATAGATTTACCCCTCTTGCAAGGAGAATCTATTCCTTTCGTACGCTAATGCAAAATTAACGTTATCTTTTTACATAATAAATAGCCTTAAAGTGCATGTTTGGTCTGAGTGAAGAGCAATACCGTTAAATTAAAACCGTTACTGTCATGAGATCATTGGTGTCGACGTTTTTGCTGAACTTCCATAAAAATAGCTTCAAATCTATTTCAATGATGCAACCTGTAACAGAATGGACGTCGTGATCGTTTAATTTATGTAATTTTCTGAACTAACCAATGGAATATGATTCAAGCACATATACAGAGATGCTTTGTTCAAAAATATGTTCTAATATGATAGTCAAATAAAACAAATAGGAAATACATAATTCCTACGAGAACTTGTGCGAATTTGTACGAGTATATACTACTGTAAGTAGTGGAAATTTACTATCCATGGTGTACTGCAAGTTGTTTACAAAATATCGTAAAATTAATTTCGTTTACCGTTATATCAGTTGCAAAGCTCTCAAAATCACGAAAAAAGTTAAACTAATCGCAGACCTTTACTCATTTTGTTCAAATACAAATTCGTGACAATAACACAAATACATTTCCAAACAACAGAAAGCAATGCCACCACAATCCACTGCAGGAAAAAGAGGAGAAAAATAACCTTAGCGATATATTTTTTGTATCAAATTTCTTTTAACTTTTGTGAGCTGACTTTAAATGGATGTTCTGAAATTACATTAGATTCATTGAACTGACGGGAAAATGTTTCAGATCAAATATTTTAAAACCATTAACATTATTAATAACAATTCCGTTTCTATTGATAGAATTGAAATGTTACCTAATTTTCGCCATCTTTGTAATTCACCTTCTTAAAAATTAACCGCAGGATATTATAAAAAGAGACCATATTGAACTATTACTACTATTTTGAAAGTAGTTACGTGTGTTCCCAAGATTTTGAAATGAAAAGATTTATAGAAGGCGTGCTGTCAATCAATCCCGCAATCGTTTGGATACAATAAAAATTACTACTTAGTTGGAGATGAGACACAAAATAAGTTGTTTAGATTGTATTTTGATCTTTTTTCGTTTTAATTAAAAGCGCGGTTCACTCACCGTCGCTGCTGCAGCGTGAGTCCACTTTACGACGCTTCAGCTTGAGGTCTTGGAAGAGGCTCATCGTGTCCAGCTCACACGGGCCTCGCGTAAGGGTCATACTTCCTGCGGACACAAGAAAGCTCCGTCAACACACAAAAGCGGCATTTGTTGCATCTACCTACTATTAGCGTAGCGGTAGACAGTTAACTGCTTCAAATCACACTAAAGCAACTGATAAAAGAAAAAAAAGAACTCATTTGATTTAAATTATTATTTTGTTGTTATTTAAGGCCGCATGAACTTCTAGGTCATTCGGCCACTATTACTTGTAACGGTGTGGTAACTGTGAGGATGAGGCAGGACTCGAACCCGCAATCCTTCGGTCCGAGATCACTACTGCCTACGGCAGGTTAAATTATTTTGTTAAAGTATCATCAGCACTAAATATGTAATTTCTAATAGAGACAATACAATGGACGTAAACAATTATTTCTCAAATTTCTTAATATGATTTTAACAATCGGAAGGAATTAAAACGACATGCTGTAGTATCAAAAAACGGATTTCATGATTTCTCTTTCGACCTTTCACTACTATATTTCATTGCAAAGAAGCGATAATAAATAGAATGTGTACACACGGAAGGTGCGGTTGCTTCGCAGGCAACGTTGAAGGGCGAAGCAACGCAAGCAATCGCTGCCTTCGCGGAACCGGCAACATGTCGGGCGGAGCGTTGCCAAGAGCGCGCACCAGAGGGATCGCAGAGCTCTCTGGGTTCTCGTTCCACGAGCTACTCCCCACGCGAGGACGGGGACGGGGACGGTGAGGCCGCCGAATGTTGCCGCGTGCTCTCCGTTCCGTCCTTCGCCGTACACTCCTTTCTCTCCCACTGCCCTTTCGGCCTTCCGCATTTCTCTGCGCTCCGCCTCTCGACAGCGCTGTGCGCTGCAGCCTGCAGCGGCGCATCGGGGGCAGGAAGCGCACCAGCCCCCCCCCCGTTGCGCAACCGAAACGGGTTCATTTCCACGCGCGGAAAAGGGGGAGGGGCGGGGGCAAACGAGGTAGACTGCACCTCGTGACGGCGGGTTTCCCTTGCTCCGTTCCAGGGGCGCTCCCAAGGGCTTACAAGTGGGTTTGCACACGAATGGAAAAGTTTATTATTATGGAAATAGGAGTAGCTCAAAATTAGTTCCTTCTGTTCTACACGTTAAAGATCTACTCGAGAGTGAAATAATTTTATCAAAAATAAACAATATGAAACCTTAACTTCCACAAATCAAATGCACAGAAACCTATTTCAGGTGAGTTCATCTTTACTGCGAATTCTTCAAGACATGTTTGATACTGTGAATTCTACATTGTTCTGATCAAGCCTAATATTTATACTATATTCACAGAAGAGACCATACAACAACAAAACTGCCTAGTGAAGTAATTACGGGAGACCTGAAGTATACTCAAAGCATTATCGTTCTTTTAGCAATTATATTTTGATAGCAGGAAGGAAATTAGCCTATAAATTTAAAGTATCCGCAAACCTAGTAATTTATGTAATCAAAATGGAGAATCTTTTCGAAAATGATAATTGAAAAAGACGAAATTTTTAATGATTAGGCTCAGATACGGGAGTACAAAGGTAGCTCTGAGTATCCATTGAGATAATAGTCATAGTCAAGAGCATGTATGGTAAGTGTCATGCGAAATTCGAATCCTCAAGTCCTAAACCTCAAGGGCCGCATTTCTAAAGATCATACTCCACCTCCCAGAGCCGTGGTAAGAACAGGCCGAGGTGGCTGAAACGAACGCAAAGGGGAAACGATGAGGAGGAGGAGGGGGGGGCTGGCCGTTTCGCGCCTCGTCGTCCGGTGGGCAGCGGCACCAGGGCGGGGGGCGGAGGGCAGGGCGCGGCCGCAAGGTGCAGACCCCCGATGCAGTTCCGAGGCAAGGCCCGGGCTTTCTCTACGGCTGCACCGGGCGAATGGCGGACCGGTTCCTGCACTAAGGCCAGGGTCGGCTGCGCGTTGCGGCGCTGCCTCGGCCGCGCCCACCGCGGGCTGCACTGCGTCACACCTCACACAGCCAGGCTCCGTTGGAGCTCTGAAGACCACGCAACATCCAATACTTACTACCGCAATGATGTCCTTCACTATTACGATACATTTTCGTATTGTAATTGAAAAGTAGACAAGCTTTGGGCGAAATTTGACAAATTTTCAAATTCCAGAGCGAAAAAGTAATTAAAATGCAGCAACGGTAAACTGGGAAGTAATTCTCTTGGCAGACGCAAAATCTCAATTAAAAAGTTTTCATTTAACGAACTGCTCAATAACAGCTAGGGAGACGTGTCTTTTGCACCAAGTAGTGCTTCTTGTCACTCGAAAATGACATATATGTATATTATCTTCGTTAATTCCCGAACATATTGTCCGTATCATTGGAAGAGCTATGAATTAAAAACCAAATAATTACAAAATAAAGTATTTTTCAATTAGAATGTAAATTAATTCATAATTCAAAATAAATCACTTTTCGTACACAATGCATACAAACATGCAACAATATTTTTCTAATTGCATAAACATAGTTTATCTCATATGGAACCTCCATTTCGAATGCGAGAGTCCCTCCTCTGGCTGGAAACATTCCATTCTGCGCATGCGCCAAGCACACAGCATGGACATCCTCACGCAGCGCCATCGAGGCACAAATCGGATGAAGCAGCACAGTTCCGAAGTTTCTGGCTTTAGTGGCCGAGTCCACTAGCTTCGCAGCGGATCCACATTAGTCAAGAAGGCCTTCTCCCCTTTCGAGGAGCAAGGCTGAAAACTTCGATCTGGGAAAGCGAACGCCAAGGCCTGCAGTGCAGCCAACTGCTTAGTTTGATTCGAACACAAAGCTGCAGGTTAGGCAGCAAGGTCAATTTATGCATAACAAGATTGACTTTTTGTCCCCGAAAAAGAAATATAAGCGATCACAAAAATACAGGCAAAATGAAAACTGTTTAATATTTCGAAATATTAATGTTATTTTAATTTGGTAAAACATCATATCTTCATAAAATTAATATTTCCTTACTCTATCATCATACTTATTAAATTTTCTGTATCTTAACAAATTTGTGAGACACTAAAAATATTCTGTGTATACAATTTGTTCTTAAAAATAAATATAATTATATTTATAGATATTACTAAATGAAATATTCTGCTAGGAACAGCTGCCAACCTCGTCTGACCTCGAGGCGCTGAATTGTTCTACAAATGGTGCAGGGATACCGTTTCGCGACCACGCAGTACCTAACTGATAGTCACGTAGGCGAACAAATAACAGGGTTTACTGACATGAAACTGACGATCACCGATACAAAGAGGACAAGCGTAACAAAACTTGAACTCTACTGAGCTCTTTCTACCTTATAGACGCGACTAACACTTGAAAAGAGATATTGCAAATCTTCAAGAATAAAAGTAGGTAAAATATTTTGTCTAGACTGCGAAATTAGACAAGATAGTTATTTCCATATATGCATAACAACATAAAAACAACGAAATTATTAATGTCGTCTTATACAAAATATTTAGACATTTTAAAAGAAATTACAAAGAATCGATATTTTATAACAATTATATTGAACTCTTTAATTCGATATTGGAGACAGTTTGGTACCATTGCAGTTTCCCGTGTAAATCGATCAAAACGAAAGGGTACTGAAAGCAGAGTTTCATTTCATTTAACAAGTTAAATGTTGGAATTCAACTTGAATTCAATTACAGAAATGTAATGAAGATTACGCAGTGGCAAGAAAAGGTGATCATTCGCAGAAGAGTTTTCCTAACCAACGTTTTCACAAAAACAAAAGCACAAGAGTTTCCAATTAACGTTTATCTCATATTTGTTAATATTTGAATGAATGCTGTATTTAAATTTTGAAATGATGCTACGGGAGAGAAACCGATTATTCCAGGCAACGTATGTAATATTCTTTTCAGCATTTACACATAGGAACTAGGACTTACCTTCACACTTTATTTATTGTTAAGTGTTACTTTGTGGCTGGGTACGGAAAATAAGACGTTGTCATAGTCGTACCGCAAAGAAATCCTGGTCATGTAAAACAGTTGAGAGCTGCCAATTAAAAAAGAATCACTGGGAAGTACATCTGCCGCCTCGCACATTGAGAATGACCCCCAGAGCACTTGTAGACTTCCTTGAATACGTACTATAATGGTGATGTACATAACTTGTACAGAATCTTTTGCATTAGAAAGATATGTTGCCGGATGGGGCGTCAACAGAAGCCAATTCTCTAGGGGTCATTTTAGGGTGGCAGCTATGTTGATCCATGTCGTCTCTGGTTTGTTTAGTTTGCAGTATATTGTTGCTTTGTATGGCCACGACTTCTTTGCTGTACGCGTACGGCAATGAGATTTTGCCGAACGCGCACCGCAAAGTAACACTTTCCAATTAATAAACAGTGAAGGTTCGTTCTAGAGTCCACACATGAGTGTTGAGAAACAATGTATGTAACGTCTATGAAAGTGTCGGCGACTCACTGACGGACTCATTTCAAAATGCAGTGAAAATTTCATCCAACGTCACAGATTCATTTTCAGTATTAGTAACGTAAATAGCTATTTCCAAATCCTACCTTTTTTGCAGACAAACAAAAAAGTTTCAAAGAGTATTTTCGCTCTATCTTTTTAAGTCTCCTTTCATCACCAAATGCAATCACCATTCCAATAGGAAAAACATCACACTCTCCAAGAATTACGAAGCCGTATATCGACAATGTCATAAAATAATAATTCCTCTTCATTGTAACCCTACTCCTCCACTTCCAACCAAAATATATGCAAATTTAATACACAAAAATATTGACAAGTTCAAAGATAAATTACCATTTTCAATTGCAAAGATTAGTGAATGTATATAAAAGCAAAATTCAGTCATGATAATTATATGTGATGCATTTCGTTTTTAATTCTATGTGGATAGCAAGATTCTCTGCTATAACCCACAAAATTCATGGACTGATCTTGATAAAATGTTTCTGAAAATATATTTGAAATGTGTAATATTTAAATAAGTATTCTCAGTTTAAAAGTGATTCTAATGTATCAGAATTCGTAAACGTCCTTCCTGTCGTAGTATTGGAGAAGTACTGATCGATGTGCAACAATCATTTTAGGATTTTCTAATTTCCGTGAAGTAGAATTTTTCTGTTGCGACATTTTTTTTTACAGCTTTTCCTTTCCTGCGATGTAATCGCAAGGGTTCAGCTAGTTATATATTTTTGACATTCGTAGCGTCAAAATTCCAATTCAATGGAGCCACTTGCCCAGGTTGAGTCCCGTGTCGCAGTGAGCCCGAGTGCGGGCGGCGCGCGGCTAAGCGAGCGAGGGAACGAGCGTGCCGCCAGGCGGAGCGCAGCGACGGCGGCGGCAGCAGCAGCAGCAGCAGCGAGGCCTGCGACTTTCGCTCGCGCGGTTCGCGTGACCCGCGCCGCCGCCGCCGCCGCCGCGCGGTCGCTCACCCCACCTGCCCGCAAGTGGGTCAGTGCTGGCGCGCTCGCATCGCATCTGCATCTCAAACGCGGCGGCGGCAGCGGAGTTGATGGAGGTGCTGGTTGGTGGGTCGGTCGGTCGGGTGGGTCTTCGTGCCGCCGCCTGGCTTTTGCATCTTCGAGTCCCGCCTACGCGAGGGTGCCCGGGCACGCACCACCTCGGAGACTCGCAAACGCCGCACGCTGGGCGGATATGAGCGTTCTTAAACCATAAATGAGCCTTGTTGTTGTTGTTTTCGTTACCGACCAGTGGCGAGCTGCGCGTAGGAGAGTGGTTACGAAAGGAAACATACCTCAATGAAAAGTGAAAATCTTAGACGCAGCATGATTGGTTTCAGAAATAAAAGC